CTCCCTTGGACACTTTCCTCTGGGGAAGGGGTTGAGAAAATTCAGTTTTCCCTATTGACCTTTTCTGTGGCATTGATACTCTCACTGGCTTCCAGAATACCTTCTTCTATGCCACGAGCCTCCACTTACTGCCCCCCCCCCCACTAGGCTGTCTCATAAGATACTCTTCCCTAGAGGAGCAAATTCAGAATTTCCCAAGGGATAAGGGGTAGGAGTCACTTCAACTCCTACCAGAGTAATCATGGTTGTTGCAAAACACAGCCATAGGTAGTTGTAGGCGGGGAAGGACCCTGCGCCTCCAGTTTATTCTGCTGGGCTCTGAGGTTGGGGCTGGGGCTTGAAGAGTCATCATTGTCTGCTGGGGTTTGGATGGGAGCCCAGCAAATACTTGGGAGCCTGGGAGAGCGCTGGAGATGCCTGTGCTTGGAGGTGAGGGTGGGAGTCTACATCTTCCTTTGCCTGGCCCCCAGGCTCTACTTTGCCATGCCAGCAGACTGTGTGCGGGCCAGCAGACTGGCAGCCTGGGGCTTGAGGATGTGGGAGCAGGTGGGAGAGACAAGTGCCAAAAGCCCCAAGGATGGAGACATGATCTGGGCTACTGGGAATGGAGCCTTGGAGTCAGGCAGATTTGAGTTGAATAACCGTCAGTGTCCTATGCTTTCTAGGGCAGCTGGTCAGTGGACACTCAGTTCTCATTGCATTACACACAGCTACCCTGGGGTTGTCCTGTTTTGGAGAAGTCAGAATTTCTGAGATGCCATAAAATTACTTGAGTTTGAAAGGATGCTCCAAAGCTGGACAATACAGGACCATGGTAAAATAATAGCTGGGGGTGCACTTGCTGTAGGGATCTAGCCCTGGCCATCTGGCCATGGAAGTAGAATCCTCCAAAGCCCTGGGGCCAGGACTGGGCTCTGAGGGTATTCTGTGTGGTCTCTCAAAAGCCTCTCTGTGACTCTCATGTTGCAGGTTATACAAGAGAGGATCCCACATAAGAGACACCTTTTTAAACTTTGGGCCCCAAACCATTGTGGGTTGTGAAATAAGTTTGATGGATCCCAAAAAGAAAGATGTAAGGAAAGAAGGAATGAAGGTAGGGAGAAAAGGAGGGAGAAGAAAATCAGAAAACATGGCAAGTCATCTCTTACTCCATGAAACCTGCATATATGCCTAAGGACATGTTAATAGGTCATGATAAAAATTATATCTTACTATGCATTGCAGTTAAAATTTTGAAAATACTGGTATGGAAGAGCTTCTATTTGGGATGCTTTCACTGCTTATAGCTTCTTCCATTTATTCATTCCATTTTTACCATCTGGAACATAAACAGAGAGAACAGTCCTAACTTGGGCTAGAAAAGATAAATGAGTTAACCTTTCTGAACTTAGTTTTTTTAAGTTTCTAAAACAAGGAACTGCTTGAGAGGCCTGGTGGCATCTGTACTATGAATCCAAGACTGTCTCTCAGAATGTTCTCTAGGCATTTGCTGAGTGTGACTCTGCCTTTCATTTCCACCATGCCCACAACCATAAAATATTTAAGAGGGGAAAAAGGGCCCTAAATAAGGGAAAAGTAAATCATTAGATAAAGGGCTTAAAGGGCACATTTTTACATAGAGAGCAGCTTCTGGACAGCTTATAAACCTCTGTCCATGAGAACATGGCTCCGGGATGCTCACAGGAACAAGGTGACCCACTCCAGCTCTGATACCATGGCAGGAAGCTTAGAAAGTGGCAGCCAGCATCAAAGATAGTGACCAGGTTATAGGAGAGGGGAGCTGCACCCCGAGCCCCACTGAAGGCCAAGGTTACCAGGAGGCACCCGGAGCCCAGCAGAGACAAGGAGAGGTCAGGCCCTGCCTCTCTCCAGGTTTCTGAAATGAAGTGCACAGAGGTGGCAGCTACCTAGCACCTCTGGAGTCGTTCCTCCCAGGTAAGTCACACCTGGAAGGGCTCTTTTGCTATACAGACCATCGAGTCTATAGCACTACGAATGGCATGGTATCTTGCACCTAACAGTGTCTGGTAGATACTTCCTGATGTAATTTTCAGAGATGAATACTGTCAAGAAGTATAATCCCAACATCCTATAAGAACCACCACCTTGGCCTGTGACAAGTGAGAACTCAGAAATGCTAACTTTGGGGGGAAAAAAAGAGCATTAGTATTTTTTTTAAATATCTTTTATATCATTGTATATTCCCTGTAAAATTCCCACCACCAGTTCACCCGTGAACCTTCACCATAGTCCCTTGTGAGAGCCTTAATATTTTCCTTGGAGGTTCTGGTACTTGAAGTGTCAAAAATCAGTCAAACTAGAGGCATTTAAAACTATGAACTCTGCAATGCAAGGAATGCTTCCCTTTACTAAAGTCTTTAAGAAGATGGTGAAAGGGACAGCAACTGCCCTTCCCAGTTCCTGCTGGAGAGAGCAGGATTAGGAGCTAATTAGTACTTAAAGCAGAACTGGGAGCAGAGAACCTCATGCATTCTTGTTTGTCTACATTAACAAGATGAGTTAACCTTTCCTGAGAATGAATTAACATTCTTTCTAAGAATAAAATTGAAGTGAAAAATCCATTTTTGTTCAATATAAATACAAGATGGTTAATAGGAGACAAATTATGTCTACAGATAATACCTGCTATATAAGCCAAAGAACAGGGCCTTCCTGGTGGCCTTGGAGATAAGTCTTAGCGCTAACACTGCTGTGACCTGAGTTCGATCCCCTGCCAGGAAGCTAACCCACATGGCACAGCAGACCTCTCCTATCTCACCCACTGCTCCCCTCAGCAGTGTATTTCAGTAGATGCCCCTGTTCTACTCCCCACTCTGTTTCTGGTGAATCCTCTCACCCCCACACCTCTGGCCTAGACCCCAGTTCTTGTATGCATAAATAAAAATAAATCTTAAATAAAAAAAACAAACCGAAAAACAGACTCTTTTGTCCTGGATTATCAGCAAAGATGTGACAGACAGTACTGGAGAGAGGGCAGGATCTGAAGAGACAGATAAGAGATATGGACTTGGTAAGGGACATAGTGACAGGGTTGATGGCAGCATGTCCTAGGGATTGTGATGACATCAGTAGTCCTGAAATCACCGCACCCAGAACCTCTGTTCTCCAGGGCTGGCTTATCTAGATAAATTGTGATGAAAAGCCCACAGATTTTTTTTTTTTTTTTTGAGAGGCAGTAGAAAGTGAAGAAAGAAACCCTAGATTCAAGTGGCTCTGTCACCCCTGCTGTAAGAACTTTGACAACTCTACACAATTCTACACTGCGAAGAGTATTTTCTACTCTGCCTGATTCAAAAGATAGTAGTGAGATTATTGAAGGACTATGAAAAGAGATGAGCAGTTAATTATTACAGAATGCTTAGTACTCATGCCATTTTTGATAAGGTTTAATTTTCAAGATGCCAGGTTCACCCATCTGCCCAAATTAAGCACCATAAAAGCGATTTCTGAGTGATCAACCTCTCTCAGAGGCTCACAGAAATTTCTGAGAGTGTCCCAAAGTATTGGATGTTAGATGTTTCCTCTTCTTTCCTTTCATGAGAATCACTGCTCGCTTTCCTATGGTGCTTTGGAGAAGGGGTTTCCTTCTTTTACTTTCATCACAGACTCCATGGGGACACATCTCCTGTTTCTCAGAATACATGGGCCATTCACCAGCTCAATCAAGTGGCCTGTATCCCTTGTATTTTTTTTTAAATCTTCCTAGGAAGTTCCTATGATACTACCTTAATGAACTGTTGCAATAATTAACAAATTTCACTATATGAAGGCTTTCATTTCTCTTAAGCTTTAGTATTCCTCTTGGCCCAATTACTGAGTTTGAGAGGGGCGAGTTATCACACAGTCTAGCATGATGCTCAGAAATGGTTCTGTGACCTTGCACCAGCCTGCTAGCTGGACTCTAGCACTGTCCTCCAACGGCTGGGTGATGTTGAGCCAAGCTTCTCTGTGCCTCAACTCCTCACTCACCTTGCCCTTTAAGCCAGTTTCCTCCTCTGTAAAAGGTGTGTGACAATATCTTCCCTACTTAAAGGCCACCAGCTGCTGGGTGACTTCAGAACATTTGTGCTGTAATTACTGTTTATTTACACATTCTGGACAGAGGAAACCGTCTCTCCTCTAGCATGGAGAGCAGTCCTAGTACATAAGCAAGGAAGCTGAAGTAGTAAGTTTTAGCCAAAATTTTCTAAGGCAAATTTTCTGCAGCTGCCTAAAATTCCAAGTCTTGGGAAGTACTTTTTATCTCCTCCCTTCCCTAACACACCAGTGTCACGAAGAGGGCAGCAGGGGATGGTCCTCTGGACCAAGGACCGGGAAACTGAGACTAAGTTAGCTTTTAATTCTCAACATCCAGAGTGCAGTCGGCCGTGGTCGTGAGGAAACATCGAGCGGGCACCAAGATGCCACTCCAGGCTCCACTTCTGCCCGGTTTTCGGATTTTTTCCTTTATCCTAGCGCATAGGGTCTGGCTGAGGCCCCGACAATCTGCAGAAGTGACACAAGAGCGAGCGGCGCCCAGGAGTGCTCACAAACGCCCAGAGAATCGGCGGTGCCCGCCACAGGCGCCCCCCGGCACCTCGCAGACTACGGAGAAGCGCCGACCGGCTCAGCCCAGGTGGAGGTGACGCACCTGAAGAGGCGTCCGCGGCGGGCTGGGTGGAACCACGGCGGTGGAGGCGGAGGGGCGCGTTGAATCACGGATAACCGCAGGCAGCAGCGCGGGTTTTGCGCCACAGAATCATCGAGACCTCTCGCGCGCGAGGGCAGAAGCGAGCCCTGCCCCAGGACGGCCGTCGTGGAGGACCGCAGCCTCCCGCCCCTGCGCGGTGGTTGGTTCCAAGCTAAGATGGTCGCGGCGCCGCGGGAGCTGTGGGCAGGAGCCTGGACCTGTGGGCGGGGCGGGGCGGCGGGGCGGGGCGTGGGCGGGGCCAGGTGCTGGGCTGCCTCTGCTTGTCAAAAGGCAGCCGCGGAGCCCCGGACGCCCGGAGCGCGGAGCCGCGTGCCCACCAGCCGAACCAGGTGCGGACCGGGGGCGGCGGGGAAGGAGTCCCAGGACCGGACTGGCTCGGGGTGGGGGCGTCCGGGGTACCGGGCCCGAGTGCCCGGTGTGAGCACTGGCGTCTAAGTCGCCAAGCAAATCTGGCGAGTGAGATCTGGGCTGTGGTGCCATGAGGCTGGGGGCACTGAAGTCTAAGAGCTGAAAGTTCGCTCCAGGATGGCAAAAGGAGCAGCGACCTGCTCGATGCTCAGGCAGCCGAGTGCAGGAATGCTCTGCTAGCACAGTGCTCAGCACTTGGGCAACGAGAAACATTTCTTTCCTTTCTCTGTCGGGCTCCTTGGCTTGGAGCGGAGGAATAAGATGGGAGAGACTGGCGGCCGCTGCGGCCGATAGCACTGAGGTCTGCGGTGGAGTGTCCAGCCTTACTAACGGGTAGGACCCAGGTATGGTCACCTGCGACAGTGGAGTTGGACCTTTTAAGTTGAGGGTTTTTTTTCCTGTTCTTTTCCTTTCTTGACTTTATTTTTTAGACACCAATAATTTTAAACCTAACTTGCCCTAATGTTCTGGATTAATTTTTTCAGAAGACTTGTCTATGGATATCTGGAAGAACTCAAGGGCAAGCATCTAATAGACCGGGGGCTCAGGGAGTAGCTTCTGTTTGGGGAGTGAGGCCCCACATCTGAGTGTGTTGGATGAGGAGTATTTAGGGAAAATATCTAGGAAGGAATAACATGTGGTCTCCTGGGAGCAGCAGACACAGTACGTCCCACCCCCCATGGAACGCTGAGACAGAGACCCCTCATCCCGAGCTGGAGGAGTCATGGGTCTCTGAGCACAGGCCCTTCCCGCATCTCCTCCTCCTCTTTCTCCTCCTCTTCCTCCTCCTCCGTGTGGTGAGTGAGTCAGCCTCCTGTCTGGGCTCAGTTGCAGCCAGAGGGGCCAGAGCCCAGGCAAGCACTTGGGCAGGCATTTTCTGAGCATTGCAGAAGCTCTCCTGGGCAGAGTTCAACTCTGCTCCGCTCCCTGCTGGAAGGCTATCTTCTTCATGGTCAGCGGTGGCAGGGCCAGGGTTTTGGGCACTCAACGCAACTATGATTATGGAAAGGGGTGGATAATTCCTTCTCCCAGGATTAGGAGTTGTTTTCCAACGCTGCATTTTTCAACTCTTCCCTCCATTTTACCCCAGTGATCTCGTTGGCAGCCCATCTCTGTCAGTGAGGTGTTTGTGCAGAAGAAGTCAGGAAGGTTCTGGGACAAGGGAAGTCATGTTGATGTCAGGGAAGGTTATAACCCAGGCTGGGAAGTGGGGATAGTTTGCTGAGGTGGAAATGGGATGACTGGATACTGGAGCCTCAGCTCTATGAAATGAGTGTTGTGTGTTGGAGAAACTTCCTTGTTCATCCCCTAGTGCTAGAGGGGATCCTGGGCCCATCTGAACTATGTCAGGACTGGTATGCAGCCAAACCAGGAGGCAGTAAGGCCACAAATTTCTCTCTGGCTTTTGTTTTGGTTCTCAGATCCTTGAGTAGAGAGTGGCCCTAGAGACCATTGTCCTCCACTCAGTGGTTTCTCTGGATGCATTTGAGAAGAATCCATAGCCAGGCTGACTCAAACTGCAGAAAGCTGGGGAATTCATGTCTGTGCTCTGCCTGTGTCCCGCGGCTTTGGTTTGACTGGTCCCAGATCAGCCATGACTTGGACCTTCGCAGAGCAAAAGATTTGAAAAGAAAGAGACGAAGACAGGAAGCTTTCTCTGCTCTTCACATCTCTCTAGCTAAGGCAGCATTTGTGTATAAATCTGGTGCTATTCGGGGTGCCCTGGTTGTTGGTATTCAGTCTCCCCACCGCCCCCATTTAACCTCAGATCTGAGCTCTTTTGGGGATTAAATCCTAGAAGATGCACCAAAAGGACCTCCTGGTTCCCCAGGTTCTAGTCCCTGAACAAATAGCCAGTGTCTTCTAAGCTTAGAGGAAGGCATGGGGCGTAGTGGGCTTGATCAAGTGGTATCCAAGACAAGAGAGAGCGTTCAACTCAGTCTTCACTATACATCCTAAAAAGGCAATAACCATCCTGGCTGATATCTGCCTCTAGAACATTTGCATTGAGCTTGCTATTACCCAGGTCGAGCGGTTGTGTTCTAGTGGCCAGAAAGCCAGAGTCAGGAGCACTTGGAAATCTGAGCTGGGATGATACTTTGGTTTGTTGCTGGCTGGTATGCACTGTAAGATTCCAGCCTTCAACTTGCCCCTGCTGCAAGGCTGTTCTAGAAGCAGGTAGAGGGGAGTAAGTAAATGACAAGGTTTGATTAAGAGCCTTATGTGTGCCCACATGGTGCTTGACCCCTTCAGGGATGACAGGAAGAGAACCCACAGGATGACAGGAAGAGAACCCATGTCTCTCCCCCAAGATGGTCTGAGCCCCAGGGTAGACAGCAGCTCATGCCCTCTTCGGCCATTACTGTCCAGCTCTGAGCGTATCCAACTGGGCCTCACTTTTATTTAGGCTTTTTCAATCCCCTTGATCCTCTCTTATGTCAGTGCCCTGCTGGATGTGCCAGAGAGTGACCATATAATTTATTGGCCAAACTTTGAGAGTGGAAGAAGGTGCTATTAATGGTTATGTCCAGACAATATACATAAGTTGAAACTGTTCTGGGAAAACTGAAAGTTAGTCATTTTAGTGAGCTCTTCTCCAAACCTGGAGGTCACAGAAAGGAAGGTGGCAGGGGGCAGGTGGGATGTGGGGTGATGAGTTAATGAGTAGGGGAAGATGGTGGTGGAGCTTAATGGTGAGGGGAGATGGGGATAACTTAATTCTGAGGGCAGGTCAGCACCCCAGCACCCCAGCCTGCTCTCTGGTGTTATCAGTCAACTCCAGGCTTTTCCCCGAGGGCAACACTGCTCCCAGCCTACCACATCTGGGACTGGTCTCACCTTTGGTTTTCCTGCCCAACCCCTACCTCAGACAGGGATAGGGCACCCTGCCAACTCCCCTTTCAGCTCCTCTGGGGGAACTGGGGTTTATAATGGAGCCAACACTGGGTCTCATGCTTCTTCTTCCCTCCTCCCCATATCTGCAGCCTCTTTGTTTTATCCATTCAGCATCCCAGACCCCCAGGGGCTGCATTATCCCATAAGCAAGTCTAGCTGTAAAGGAAGGGGAGGAAAACTGTTGCCCCTATGGATAAAGGATACAGGTCTCTTATAATCAGGTTCCCAGGAGATGATAGCAAAGTAGAGGTCACATCAGAGCAAGAGACGGAGTCAGTTCCCTTGGACACTGGCATTTGACTCCCAGTCTGGTCAGAGTATTGGGGAAATGGTCTGGGGTGGGGACAGATGGTTCTTGCTCAACCCAAAATACAGACGTTGCTGGCAGTGACTGCATCCTGCGTGGTGACATGTGGAAGAGAAACTGCACTCCCTTTGGGGTGCTCAGTCCTTGTGGTCATGGTCCAGATGCTCAGGACAGGCTCCCTGGAGAGTCCCCAGAGGTCCAACTTGTGAGTAACTGAGGTGCTGGTGTGGAGAGGGGGCACTCCTTGGTGCCTCTGACTATTCTGGTAGGAGGAAGTCCCTCTCATCACCCATAAATGAAAAGGGCAAGAGAAGACATCTTAGGAAGTTGCACCCATTGAAGTGACTCATGAGGAGTGGGTAGGGAGCTGAGACCCCCTGGCTTGTAGGGGCACACAGGGGGTGGCTGCTCCGTAAGGGGCAGAGCAAGAGGCAGAAGCAGCCATGCCCAGGGAGTCTGAGTGTGTGTCATGCTATTACAAACCTGCCCTGCAGGTCCAAGGAATAGACCAAGCAGTGTTCCCAGACCAAATGCCACACAAAGTCCCCATTCTGCGCAGGGGAGAGTCCTGGTCCTGAGCAAGGCGTGGGCAGCTGCACTCGCGGGAAAGCAGAGTTTGGGCAGGACCCAGCAGTGGCTCCCTGGAAATGCTGCCCTTGTAGGCCTCTATGACAGGTTGAAGTCTGAGTGTTACGCAAGGCATGACATTCCAGGCACTGAGGGGTACCCATGAGACCCAAGGCCTTGCCAGTGACACACAGGTCCAGTGTGTGCCACCTGCTGGCACTGGAGTTGCAGCTCCAGGAACAGCTCCTCCCTCCACTCACTTATCCAGGTGCTGCTGGGCGCCTGTGTTTGCAGCCTCCTGCACCTGCCACAGCCACGCGATACAGACCACGGTCACTGTCACACTTCTGTTACACAGAGGAAATGGAGGGTTGGTGGGGTTCAACAACATGTCAAGGAGAAGACTCCTGCTTGGGTCTGTCTCACTCTAGAACCCTGTCACCTCTGCATTCCCCAGTAGCCACAGGGCATTCAGGCCATGCCGTGTACATAATAAGCCTGAAATGAATGCGTGTGAGTGACAGGGTTACATTACTGACTAGTTGGAATAAGTTGACCTGAGAGCAAGTTGGCTTTTTCAAAGGTTACTCTGGGAACAGTGGCCTTTCAGCTGGAGGCTCCCTTTGTCAGCACCCACAGGCCTCGGAGCCTCTCCAGCAGCCTTGGGTGCCTTACTGGGGTAGAAACAGCAGATAAGAAGCAGAGAGAGTTAGCTCCTTGTGGACAGATTGCCTAGGATGGAATAAGGTTTGAATGGTCTGAGAGGTAAATAAGAACACTTTTTCTATTTCAAACAAGCCACTTTATTGATAAACTGTGCCAAGTGCACCAAGGGAAAAAAGGGCCATTTTCCTACTGGCCAGCTGGAAACTGTTCTCACCATTGCCTCTTTCTTCCTGGTTATCCCTCAAGGAACACTCCTGGAAGGAGAAACCGACTCCTCTCATAGCCCTGACATGTGGCCCTTTAATTCTCACACCTCCTCTTTGGTGCAAGCCACTATTATTCTTTCCAGCATGGATGTGGGGAAACCAAGATTTAAAAAGACTCAGCAGTCTTCCTGTGGCGGCAGTCAAGCATGGCTGCTCTGCAGGGCCTGCTGGCCCTCGACCGGCAGTCCAAACCGCTTCAAATCGCAGAGTCAGAGACAAG